GGGGGGGGGGGGGGGGATAGCTATTTAATACCCATTGTCATATTTATTCTATTTAGGCTTTTAATCCTCCTGAAGTCTCATTTGAAGCAGATGAAGGAACACTTTGGACATTGTTGCTCACTAATCTAGGTAAGTGCCACTATGATAGGAATGCTTTCTTAGTATGATAGGATTTCTTAACAGTTGGAAAAGATTTTCCATTATGTATTTTGATGAGCTTCTGATTAATATCCAGTTTCTGCAGCAGAAACAGAAACTTTAATTGCAAAAATTTGTAGAGAAAAAAAATCAGAAATCATATAATTGAGAAAGACTGCCTAGATCAGGGTTCCCCAAAGTGGTCAGTATCGACCCCCAAGGGTCAATGGGACTATCCAAGGGGTCAATAAATGGCTGGGGATCAATAGCTGGTCAATAAATGATGGAAGGTTGATTGGGGTCAATCTTTTGGGGTCTCTGTAGAGCTCCATACTAGTCCCTAGTCCTGCAGGTGAGGTGGCTAGCAGTGAGACAGTATTACCCAGGGTTGAATGGTTAGCCATTAGCAAGAGCAGCCTTGAATTGTCTCTTTTGTTGTTATCATCATTGCTCATGGTACTATTAGTTAAAGTAGTATTTACTAAATTATTTTCATATAATAAATGTTTGAGGGTCAATGAACAATTTGAAAATTCATGGAGGGGTTGATGAGCTGAAGAGTTTGGGGACCTGGGCTAGTTCTTTGTTCAATTTAATTTAGATAATTCTTGTTTTTGTAGGGTAGAACTGGGCATTTTAAAGAAGGATTTTGCAAGTTCTAGATATTTTTTTAAGCCTAGACAATGTTTAAAGCTTGGAGAAGTTGTGAGCAATTTAGAAGAAGGTTGCAAAAGTTTTTTAAAGCTGATCAAGCTGCACCATTGTCCAAACTCACTTTCTGCTTTACCTGTGCAGGCCCGCTGTAGGCTTTTGCTGGCAAAGTGGGAGCACTTTGGGCTCCCCAGTTTGCCTGAGCAGATCAATAATGGGATATTGCAGTCCTGCCAAATCTGGCAACCCCAATGAATCATAGATTAAAATTAAAATGTTCAAAGTAAATAATATACTTCTTGCCCAACCTAACCCCAATGCCATTTTTAATCGTTTTAGGGATATGGAGTACCACAGAATATGAGGACTCCTGACTTAAAGAGATCAAGCAATAGTTAGAGATGTTTTGCAGTTTTTAAATATTTTATTACAATTTAATTGTAATTTTAAAATGAGTAGTGGGTGACCTAAGTACAATTATGTGGTACAGATGTTTTCTCTAGTGTCAGAACCGGAAGGTGGGTTATTCTGTGATATGGTTCTTTTTATAATATTGCACAATCCATGCCACAAACATTTTTTAAAAGCCATTGTGAAAACTTGTTACAGTAGCATGAAAAATGAACTGTTGTAAAAAGAAGTACTTAAACCTGAGTATGCTGCAGCCAAAAGAGTATAATAAGGACATACTTTGTAAGATGAATTGTATCTTAACTGGGGTTTTGTATTCCTTGTGTGTACAGATGGGCACCTGTGTGATAGCAATTTGGAGTATGTCCACTGGTTGGTGTGAGTATTGGCATTATTAGCATTTTCATACTCTGAGGAAATCTGGAACAGAATCTGTTTAATATACATCCTGCTCTATTTAGTATAAGGCATTTTCAAATTGTTTATAACTATGCCAAAGTAGCACCAAAGGCAATAATGCCACAAGATTAAATTATAAAGAAGTTATTTCTTTTCCCTCATAAGGCGAAAGGGGGGCAAGGATACATGGAACTAGAAAGAGCTAAGAAGATGGTCTACATTGCACAAATATTAGAAGGAATGTACCTCAGTGCTTCCAGACTCTTAACCTCAGCCTTCCCCAGACTGGGTGCTTTCTGGATGTGTGGGTTTCAAGTACTAGAATTCCCTACCCAGTGTGGCCACAGCTGAGAATCTGGGGAATTTAAATCCATCTGTCTGAAAGATACCTACATTGTGGAAGGCTGTCCTATCTTCAGTAAACTCTACAGCTTTGACCTGTCTAATCAGGAATTCTTGTGAATTTGATAGAACCCTGAGAGTTGCGTTGATTTCTGTGACATGTCCTGCAACATAACATTAGTTAGAACAGAGATGAGCTCCGTGGCATCCCACGGCAGTACCCCTGGGTAAACTGAAAAGACCCTGTGGAATGCCCTCGGTTTCTCTGTGGCTGTACACTCCCAAGATAAATCATTAGCCACTTTTGTCAAATAGCAAATTGCTTTGCAAGGGAGCTTGCTAACCTTTATTACTATCCTTATTGGAATAGCTCTGACTTCCCTGGAATATATTGTAATTCAGAAGTCATTAATTGACAGCCCTGGCTTTACATCAAGACTCTTTTACAGCCCTTTTCTCCTTTGGTGGCTTAGAATGAAAATCATTCCATGCTTGTTCAGGGGAGTAATGTCAGGCAAACCTATTTGAATCCTGTTTTGCATCAACAGGGGAAACATTCCAGGCAACAAAATAGAGGCAGGGCAGGAAATCTGCCATTATTTCCCTGCATTTCCAGCCAGAGGAACAGGATACCATCGCTACGTCTTCCTTCTATTCAAACAGCACCAGCCAATTGATTTTACAGAAGATGTTCGGCCAACACCTTGGTAACGCTTCACGTTTTCCATGTAAAAATGAAATCATTGGGAGATTGAGTCTTGTCTTGGGAGGTGACTCATTTGTGAAGGAAAACTGAACAGTTCATGATGCTTTGAATCTTAACAGTTCAAACGGTTCAGTTCAGCAAAAAAAAAAAAAAAAGTTAGACATAGCACGACTTGAAAACAAGCAAAACTAGCCAAATGGCTTTAAATGTTGAAACCTTTCTATGGGCAGTACTCTGTGCTCTCAGCAACTCTTTGGGCTGCTTCTTTGGGTAGAAATCAGCATATGACCTGTAGTTATATTAACCAACTCTGGAGTCTCCCAGTATGATGCCAATAGACACAATACGATACACATGTTGATGCCCAGTAGGCTCTGTTTTCTAAATTACTTTAAAATATATATATATATTAATGCGTGAAAAAATAATTTGGGATCTGGCAGTCTTCAAAGCTTCATCTTAAGGCCTCACATACATTCTCAGAAAATAAAAATGGTAGTTGATTACACTCCATTGCTTTGTTTGGAAATGTGACTGTCTGCCCAGAAAAGAAAAATAATAGTAAATCATGTGGTGGTAATAGGGAAATTGGTAAATTCCTTCCTTTTAGGAAGGCCTTCAACGTATATTTTTGTGGCTCTATTTTCTTATTTTAAATATTTACATCGCTGCTTTAGTGATTCTCTAGAATTTTATTGTTTATATTTGTGTTGATGTCTCTTAGAATTATAGAGAAGGCAAATAGTTTCTGTTTTAATTTGGTTTTTTGGTTTAGTTTTTAATGTGTTGATTGACTGTTTTTAACCCTGTTGTACGCTGCCCAGAGTTTCTTGGAAAAGTGAGATGGGTGGCTAATAAATTGTGCGGATTGGATTGGACAGGACAGGACAGGACAGAATAGAAATATTTTAAATAAGGAGTACCTTGGGACCTGGGGAGGGAGGCTCATCAGTTTACCTTCTGAAGGCATTTTGTAAATGAACAAACCATTTACCATAGCACAACATCCATTAACTGAGAGTGCCAATTGCTTGCTCCAAACCAGAAACATTGAGTACCCCTGTAGTTGTATGACTTGGTGTGCTGCTTCTCAAATTTTGGGTACCTCTCATCAAAATAGTTTTTATCCAAAAGATTATCTAGTATTACTTTTTCATTTCAGTATATGAAACCATTTGAATTGATTTTCTTAGTTATATCTGTTCTCAATTATGTTACATCTTAGTGCTAAAGATGGTGAGAATTCATATGGTAGGTTTGTTGAAATGGAGGAGAAAGAAAGAGATAGATCAACATTTCCTCAGCTATTGCTAAAGAGAGCGGGGTTATTTCCCTTTTCTTATTTCTTTGGTTGTCTCAAATAATGTTCTGTAATGTTCTAGAATCTTGGAAACCTACTGGTAGAATGTATAATGGAAGGCAGAGGGAACACAGTCAAGCTAAAACTGCTTATTGGAAGCTGTTGAATAGGAGAATTTGATATAATTCCCTCATTGCAGGAACCTCACACTTATATCTGTTTAAAATTTAAACCAGTTTTAAATTGTTTTTTTCTCACTTTCACTCTCATTAAATTACAGTTTCTAGGGTTTATTGGGAAAAAACATAGTACTCAACGAAGCACATCTATGTTGTCATTCCAAGAGTTCAGAAATGGATTATGTAAAGAGATTACAAAAGCCAAACCCATTGCACTTGTATTTTCACCTCTTCAGTCACAGCCTCAAGATGAGAACCTTCAGAACATTTGACTTCTACAAGAAACATCAGAGTGGTATGACACCAGCAGGACTGGTGTTTTTCCAGTGCCAGTGGGATGATTCTGTTACAAAAGTCTTTTACCAGCTTCTTAGTAAGTAGTGGACCACATGTGAAATATCTACAATTTTGCATTGAAAAGGGTAGAAATCAGATTTTGGGACAGGCTTAAACTTTGTTGTCCAAACAACGGTATAATTTTGGGGGGTGTACAAGCTGAAGTTTAACCCAAAGTTGATGGAAACTGGAATCTTCCTCTCCAAAAGTCCCTTGATAAGCCACTCTTTTATAGTGTGTGTTTCATGTAATTGGTGCTGAAATGGTATGGCAGAGAAATTGCAAAGGTTCTCATTATTTAGCATACAGTAAGTGTGCATGCAACAGAAACTGCAAGTGGGAGCCATCTTTAATGAGCTGTCAGGTGAGGGAAGTTGCTAAGCATCCAACTGCCAAGACTTCTAGGAGCACTCTTTCAATTGCTATTTCCAGTGTGAAAATCTATACAGATGCAGCACCAGGCTCATATTATTGGGGGTCAGAAGTTAATCAGGGTCAGGCCTGGCTCATACTTGGATAGAAGACCAGTAGGGGATTTCAGGCTATAGACCAGATTTGAACATTTTGAAGCAAACATCCCTGAAAAGGCAGGGGTAAATCATGTCCTTACCATTAGCAAGAAAACAGCACAGACAAATCCTCTAAGCAATCACATTGTGGCATAAGTTCCCTTTATTCCCTCATTCGCATGTTAATTTGAGGAACATCCATTGCTATTCCATTTTTTTTCCCCAGTGGCAGTTTCTGTGAGTGTATAAAGAAAGTCCCTCTGTATGTATTTCAGGTTTTTTAGCAGTAACTGTTGATTGATTGATTGACTGACTGACTGACTGACTGACTGACTGACTGATTGACTGAATATGTGCCATCAAGTCAGTGTCAACTTTTAGCAACCACATAGATATTCTCTCTGATGATCTGTCTCTAACCTGATCTTCTAATGATGCAACCATTGCCACCGTAACTGAGCCATCCACCTTACTGCTGGTTGTCCTCCTCTTTCCTTCCACCTTTCCCAGCTTTAATGTCTTCTCTAGAGAGCTAGGTCTTTGCATAATGTGTCCGAAGTAGGTTAATTTGAGCCTGTTCGTTTGCCTTGAGTGAGAAGTCTGGGTTGATTTGTTTGATGATCCATTTGTTTTCTTTCTTGTCTGTCCATGGTATTCTTAGGAGTCTTCTCCAACACCAAAGTTCAAAAGCATCAATACTCTTCCTATCCTCCTTCTTCAAAGTCCAAGCAGTAACTGTAGTTTAAACTATTTCGTTTTGTCTTTTAAAACACTAATGCTAAGACCCTTGTGTGTTTACTACTGGATTATATTTTTAAGTCATATTCTGTTTGTTGATGCAGCTTCCAGGCCCCAGTGGCTTCATCTAGAGAATATCTGGGTGTAGAAATTTCAGAATTATTTAATCCAGGCATTTCCAAAGGTATCAAAAAGTTGCTTCAGCAATAAACAAACAGATCCAGAACAGATAGCAACCAGCAGAACATGACTGTGGATCAATTGCAATCTGAAAATAGATTTAGAGCTACTGAATTCACTTCTTTTCACTTTACTAGGAAGAGAGATTGCACATACTTTTTCAAGATACACTGAAAAGAACTGCAGATCATGACAGATAAAAGACAGAAAAATGATGAGCCATTAATTGGTTGACTATTTGAGATAAGAATCTTAAGATTAGAGCTTGTTATGTTTGTAACTTTTGAGAAGTGCTAACATTCTCTCTGCCTCTTACAGACATGAAGGAGCCAGTGTTTGACTTTGTTCTGCCGCCCAGATATCATCCCCCCCAGAAGAAATTTCCACACTATCAACCTCTGAGGTACCTGGACAGATACAGGGACAGTGATGAGCCCACCTATGGCATTTACTGAGCAGTCAAACATACTTCTTTCCATTGGAGACAGAATAATTTGCGTGTCTGGTCCAAAAAACAGAAGTCTATAAAACACAATTGAAAGTGACTCAAGTTGTCATTCTTACTATCCACTTGGAAGAAAATTCAGCTTCCATCTCTCTTGTGTATATGTGTCTCAGAAGTTTTGCTAATTTTTCCCAGAATTTGATCAAGAAAACTTGAATGATAAAATACTTTTGTTTGAATAAAATCAGACAATACATTAAATGTTGCAAAATGTTCAGTTGCTACAGAATGCTGGACTGTGTATTATCTTTGATGTTAGAAAGAAAGAAAAGTATGATTTCAAAATATTTGAAAACAATTACATTGGAAGAAACACATGGAATCATTTGGGGACATAGGTAGCTGAGACTGTCTAGGACAGGTGTGGGCAGTACGTTCCCTCTAGTCCCAATGAGCCTGCATTAAAAGCTCCAACTAAGATTGTATGTGTGTGCTTGCCTCTGAGTCAGTCTTGACTCCTGATGACTATCTGGACAAGTCCCTGCAGTTTTCTTGACTAGATTTTCAGAATTGTTTGCCACTGCCTTTTCCCTAGTGCTGAGAGTGACTGGTCTGAAGTCACTTAACTAACTTTGTGCCTAAGGTAGGATTAAAACTCACGGTCTCCCATTTCTAGCCCAGTGCCTTAACCACCACACCACACTGGCTCTCAAGGCCCAACTAAGATTATGACAGACAATTCTTCAGCCAATCAAGAGCTTTCTCAAGTTCAACCCAGAATGAAGTACAATGGACTGACAATGGAGTGAAAGATTTCCCATACCAGATGTGGCCACTAAATATGGACAATTTTATGTTTAGTGAAATCAAACTTTACAGGAAATCTGAGAACCCAAAAATGACTTCAGATGTTGAATGTTTTGAAACAAATGCTGAAAACAATTCTTTGATTCTCATTTCTGTATCTGTTCCACTTTTACATTTATTTATTTTATTTATTAATCATATTTATATAGCCACCCATCTCACACAAGGTGACTCTGAGCGGCATACAATACATGCTGAAGTTGGTTTTGTAGCCATTATAACTATCATTATGGTTAGAATATTTGGATTAAGGTTCAAGCTGATTTCTTTGCCAGGCACCTGAATATGTAATCACTTTCTTTTGGAGTAATTGAGGGTTAAACTACTGAAGGATTCAACCATTCTTCAAAAATGAGTACATCCAATCTAGCATGGATTTACATTAAAGACTTCTTCCCTGTGTTTTGATTTAATTTAAGTGCCATTGCAAATAACTGTAATCAAACATTTATCTGAATGTGAGTGCTGTTTGAAACTTACCTTAAATCATACCCTTAGAATTTATTTAACTAAGGATAAGACATATTCCAGGAG